CACGTCAGCAGTCATGGTCGTAGTCGTAGTCGCAGTCGTAGTCTCAGTCGCAATGCACTGGAACGTAGTGGCAACGGCAGTAGTAATTGAAGTCATCGACGCCGTGGCAATGGAGTGCCTTCCTGTAGGTGGCGTTATGTCGTGGTCGTAGCAAAAAAAATCTCCCGGCACAGCGACCTAACAGCGATGTGTAGCAGCATATCTGGAAGCATTCTCCTTAAGATTCAGATGAGAATCCAGTTGTAGAATTCTGCTGTTCTCGCAGTCGTAGTCGCATTCGCGATGACAGTCGCAGTGGTAACGGCAGTCGCAGTAACAGCCTCAGTCTCAGCCTGCCTCAGCCTCAGCCTCAGCCTGCCTCAGCCTCAGTCTGCCTCAGCCTCAGCCTCAGCCTGCTTCAGCCTCAGCATCAGTCTGCCTTCAGCCTCGGCCTCGGCCTCAGCCTGCCTCCGCCTCAGCCTCAGCCTCAGCCTGCCTCAGCACCAGCCTGCCTCAGCCTCAGCCTCAGCCAACCTCTGCCTCAACCTCAGCCTGCATCAGCCTCAGCCTCAGTCTGCCGTCGGCCTCGGCCTCGGCCTCAGCTTGCCTCAGCCTCAGCCTGCATCAGCCTCAGCCTCAGCCTCGGCCTGCCTCAGCCTCAGCCTCAGCCTCAGCCTCAGCCTCAGCCTCAGCCTCAGCCTGCATCAGCCTCAGCCTCAGCCTGCCTCAGCATCAGCCTGCCTCAGCCTCAGCCTCAGCCTGCCTCTGCCTCAGCCTCAGCCTGCTTCAGCCTCAGCCTTCATTTGCTTCAGCCTCGGCCTCAGCCTGCCTCAGCCTCAGCCTCAGCCTTGCATAAGCCTCAGCCTCAGATCAGCTGCTCGGCTTAGCCTGCCTCAGCCTGACATCAGCCTCAGCATCCCTCAGCCTGCCCCTCAGCCTCAGCTCAGCCCTGCTTCAGCCTCAGCCTCAGTTCTGCCTTCAGCTCGGCCTCTAGCCTCAGCCTGCCACAGCCTGCAGCTCAGCCTCAGCCTGCGCAGGCATCACGCCCTGCATCAAGCATCAGCCTCAGCCTCAGCCTCAGCCTCAGCCTCAGCTCAGCTCAGCCTCAGCCTGCTTCAGCCTCAGCCTCAGTCTGCCTTCAGCCTCGGCCTCAGCTTCAGCCTGCCTCAGCCGTAGCCTGCATCAGTCTCAGCCTCAGCCTCAGCCTGCCTCAGCCTCAGTCTGCCTTCGGCCTCGGCCTCAGCTTCAGCCTGCCTCAGCCTCAGCGTCAGCCTCTCAGCCTCAGCCTCAGCCTACCTCAGGCTCAGTCTCAGCCTGCCTCAGCCTCAGCCTGCCTCAGCCTCAGCCTCACAGTTGGCTCCGGGCAACCAAAATGTAGCCTGGGAGTGGTGTTCTGGGAACACGGAGAACACGAAGTAGCCTACAGTTGGCTGCGGGCATTCAAAATCATACCCAGGAATGGAGTTCTGGGAACTCGAAGACCACGAAGTGGCCTACAGGTGGCTCAGGGCATTCAAAATCATGCCCAGGAATGGAGTTCTGGGAACTCGAAGACCACGAAGTGCGTTACTATTGGCTAAAAAAGGAGTCCCCGGTTTTCCGCGGCACCCGCCCGGATCCCGCCCAGACCCCCCTGGGGAGTCATGATGCTCTCTTTTGACCCTACTAGAAACCTATCAATCTTCGCTGTCAGGTAATGCACGAGTCAACCTTTTTGTGTTTAGTTGCAGTAGGGGTGACGTAGAACACGGGAGACGGCTGCATCACCACTCAGCAGCAACACGATCAGGAGGAGCGCAGGGGAGGAGGACGACGACGAGGACGAAAAACATAACAACAAACAAGGGCGAGGGAACGAGGACGAGGATGACAATGGAGAAGAGCACGGAGGAGAAGCAACCCCGACGCCGTCGACGCCATTGCCCTCCCACGGCGCCGACGTCGTCGTCGTCGACGTCCTGCAGCCGAAGGAATAGGCCCCCGCCTGTCCACCGCCACGGGCACAACGACGTACCAGAGAAGCCGAAAAAGACACGTAAGCATGAACGCTGGAGGTCTGCGCTGACTTCTTGGATCGGCGTTGGGACCCCCCTCCCTGTCGCGCGAAGCGCGCCAGGAGCGGCGCCGAAGGCGCCGCCAGAGGGGGTCCAACGCAAACCCCGCCCAGAGTTCCGAACGTGTATGTTTACTCCGTTATTTCTCCCTCGAGTCCAGACCCCCGACGTCGCGATTTTGCTTACAAAGCCAAACCCCAGAGGTCTTATTTCCCCTTCGAATCCAGACCCCCGACGTCGCGATTGTTGTCTACAAAGCCAAACCCCAGAGGTCTGGAGGCCCTTCCCCGGAACAAATGTTCTTCCTCCTGGGTCATCTCTTGACGTCCCCGAGGCCCGGCGAGGGGCCCCGGAGGCCGAGAATCAGAATTACCCCGGCAAAAAGCCACCTAACAGCGATGTGCAGAAGCATATCTGGAAGCATTCCCCTTAAGATTCGGGTGAGAGTCCAGTTGTAGAATTCTGCAGTTCTCGCCGTCGGCTTGCCTCAGCCTGCCTCGGCTTGCCTCGGCCTCAGCCTCAGCCTCAGCCTGCCTCAGCCTCAGCCTCAGCCTGCATCAGCCTCAGCCTCAGCCTGCCTCAGCCTCAGCCTCAGCCGCAGCTTGCCTCAGCCTCAGCCACAGCCTCAGCATCAGCCTCAGCCTGCCTCAGCTTCAGCCTCAGCCTCAGCCTGCCTCGGCTTGCCTCGGCCTCAGCCTCAGCCTGCCTCGGCCTCAGCCTCAGCCTCAGCCTCAGCCTCCTCAGCCTCAGCCTGCCTCAGCCTCAGCCTCAGCCTGTCTCAGCCTCAGCCTGCCTCAGCATCAGCCGCAGCTTGCCTCAGCCTCAGCCACAGCCTCAGCCTCAGCCTGCCTCAGCTTCAGCCTCAGCCTGCCTCGGTTGCCTCGGGACTAAGCCTCAGCCTGCTCGGCCTCAGCCTCAGCCTCGCCTCAAGCCGCAGCTTGCCTCAGCTCAGCCGCGGCCGCAAGCCTCGCCTGCTAGCTTCAGCCTAAGCCTCAGCCTGCCTCGGCATGCCTCGGCCTCAGCCTCAGCCTGCTCGGCCTCAGCCTCAGCCTCAGCCTGCCTCAGCCTCAGCCTGCCTCAGCTCAGCCGCAATCAGCCTCAAGCTCAGCCATGCCTCAGCCGCAGATTGGCCTCAGCCTCAGGCCTCAGCATCAGCCTCAGCCTGCCTCAGCTTCAGCCTCAGCCTCAGCCTGCCTCGGCTTGCCTCGGCCTCAGCCTCAGCCTGCCTCGGCCTCAGCCTCAGCCTCAGCCTCGGGCTCAGCCTCAGCCTGCCTCGGCCTCAGCCTCAGCCTCAGCCTGCCTCAGCCTCAGCCTCAGCCTGCCTCAGCCTCAGCCTCCAAGCCGCAACTTGCCTCACGCCTCAGGCCTCAGCCTCCGCATCATCTAGCCTGCCTCAGCTCAGCCTCCAGCTCAGCCTTGCTCGGGCTTGCATCGGGCCTCAGCCTCAGCCTGCTCGGCCTCAGCCTCAGCCTCAGCCTCGGGCTCAGCCTTCAGCCTGCCTCGGCCTCAGCCTCAGCCTCAGCCTGCCCCTTCATGCCTCAGCCTCAGCCTCTGCCTCAGCCTCTGCCTGCATTCAGCCTCGGGCCTCAGCCTGGGCCTCAGCCGCTGGCTTGCCTCAGCTCAGCCACAGCCTCAGCCTCAGCCTCACCCTGCCTCAGCATCAGCCTGCCTCAGCGTCTGCCTCAGCCTGCCTCAGCCTCAGCCTCAGCCTCACCCTCAGCCTCAGCCTCAGCCTGCCTCAGCCTCAGCCTGCCTCAGCCTCAGCCTCAGCCTGCTTCAGCCTCAGCCTCAGTCTGCCTTCAGCCTCGGCCTCAGCCTCAGCCTGCCTCAGCCTCAGACTGCATCAGCCTCAGCCTCAGCCTCAGCCTGCCTCAGCATCAGCCTGCCTCAGCCTCAGCCTCAGCCTCAGCCTCAGCCTCAGCCTCAGCCTCAGCCTCAGCCTCAGCCTGCTTCAGCCTCAGCCTCAGTCTGCCTTCAGCCTCGGCCTCAGCCTCCGCCTGCCTCAGCCTCAGCCTGCATGCCTCAGCCTGCCTCAGCAGCTGCCTCAGCCTCAGCCACAGCCTCAGCCTCAGCCTGCCTCAGCTTCAGCCTCAGCCTCAGCCTGCCTCGGCTTGCCTCGGCCTAAGCCTCAGCCTGCCCCGGCCTCAGCCTCAGCCTCAGCCTCAGCCTGCCTCAGCCTCAGCGTCAGCCTCTCAGCCTCAGCCTGCATCAGCCTCAGCCCCAGCCTCAGCCTACCTCAGGCTCAGTCTCAGCCTGCCTCAGCCTCAGCCTGCCTCAGCCTCAGCCTCACAGTTGGCTCCGGGCAATCAAAATGTAGCCTGGGAGTGGTGTTCTTGGAACACGAAAAACACGAAGTAGCCTACAGTTGGCTGCGGGCATTCAAAATCATGCACAGGAATGGAGTTCTGGGAACTCGAAGACCACGAAGTGGCCTACAGGTGGCTCCGGGCATTCAAAATCATGCCCAGGAATGGAGTTCTGGGAACTCGAAGACCACGAAGTGGCCTACAGGTGGCTCCGGGCATTCAAAATCATGCCCAGGAATGGAGTTCTGGGAACACGAAGAGCACGAAGTGGCCTACTACAGGTGGCTCCGGGCGTTCAAAATGTAGCCTGGGAATGGTGCTCTGGGAACACGAAGAACACGAATTGGCCTACAGTTGGCTCCGGGCATTCAAAATGTGGCCTGGGAATGGTGTTCTGGGAATGGATTCCTGAGAATTCCTAAGAATTCCTAAGGATTCCTAAGGATTCCTAAGGCTGCCGGTTTTGTCTGGTTTTGTCCGGATCCCGCCCAGACCCCCCTGCGGAGTCATGATGCTCTCCTTTGACACTACTAGAAACCTATCAGTCTTCGCTGTTCGGTAGAAAACTTCACACGTCGTGATTCTTTCACAACGCGAGGGGGTCTGGGGAGATGGTGTCGTCCTCGTCGTCGTCGCTGTCGCCGTCGGAAGCAAGCCGCGCCTGACGCCCACGTTTGCGAAGCGCGCCACCCTCGTGAGGCGGATGGCCCGCAGCAGCTTCGAGGCCTCCCCCCTGCTCACGAGCGACAGCCTTGGGAGACGCCGCATCCCCAGGCGGGCGGGCGGGCGGGCCGGGCACGATGGAGAGGGCGGGGGAGGCGAGAGAGACGAGGAGGTAGGAGGAGGAGGAGGAGGAGGAGGAGGAGGAGGGAGGAGGAGGAGGGAGGAGGAGGAACAGGAGGAAGGACGACGAGGAGGAGGAGGAGGAGGAGGAGGAGCAGGGAGGAGGAGAAGAGGGAGGAGGGGGAGGAGGAGGGGGAGGAGGAGGGGAGGAGGAGGAGGGAGGAGGGAGGAGGAGGAGGAGGAGAGGAGGAGGGAGGAGGAGGAGGAGGAGGAGGGAGGAGGAGGAAGGACAGGAGGAGGGGAGGAGGAGGAGGAGGAGGAGGAGGAGAGGAGGAAAGGAGGAGGAGGAGGAGGGGGGAGGAGGAAGAAAGGAGGAGGCAGGAGAGGGAGGAGGAGGAAAACAGAGGGGCGGATGGAGGGAGAGGAAACAGAGGGGGAGGATGGAAGAAGAGGGGGAGGAGAGAAGACGTAGGAGAGATGAGGAGGATGGAGAGAAAAGGTAAGAGAGATGAGGAGGGTGAGGATGAGGATGAGGATGAGGAGGAGGAGGAGGAAGAGGAGGAGAGGAGGAGGAGGAGGAGGAGGAGGAGGAGGAGGAGGAGGAGGAGGAGGAGGAGGGGAAAGAAGGGAGGGAGGGAGGGAGGGAGAAAAAGAGAGAGAGAGAGAGACAGAGACAGAGATAGAGTGAAGAGGCGAGAGGAGGAGGCGAGATGAGGAGGAGGAGGAGGAGGAGGAGGAGGAGGAGGAGGAAGAAGAGGAATATTGGAAACAGGAGGAGGAGGACGAGGAGGAAGAAGAGGACGGTCCCAAGTCCAGCTGCCCCAACCGAGCCCTGACGGAATGGGAGGGGGCCGAATTGACAGAGTGCCAGAGGCACTGGGAGGAGTCGGCCAGCGGGCCAACTGGTGCACACACGGGTGCAGCCCAGACCGCGCCAAGACCCCATCACGACGACAAGGGGCGGAAGGCGTCCATCTGGAGGCGAAAATACCTCAAAGGAAAAAGTTATGGTACTCAAGGACAGAAGATTACGGGGGGATCGGCCGGCCGCTTTTGGGCTCGATCCCTCGGGCGAGGAGTCTAACACTAAACAGAGCATCAGCACTCGTGGGTCTCACGTCAGGCAGGGGTTCTTCAGCTTGAGACACTTGCTAACGCGCATGCAAAAATGATCATACAGCTCGCAGATCCCCTGGGAGCCCCAGCCGATTGTAGGATGCCCAGCGCCTAAGACAGGAGGCCCGAGACACTTGGCGTAGAACGGCGTCTTGAGGGCTTCCTCCGTCATCGCCTCCTTGAGGCAGACGCGACACCGCACAGCACGGTCATCAGCTGCATAGAAATCGTGTGTTGAGGGAGAGTTGAGGCATACGCCATCTTATCTGCGGTCCAGGGCGGGCCAGACCGCCCACAGCTCTGTACAGGCGCACCGCCCGCGAGGCGAGGGAACACGCGAAACTCGCCTTGTCAGCAGCTCATTCATCATGCCCGCGTGGACGTCGGCCACCGCGTCGGCAACTCTGACCCCTGTGGCTCCGCAGTAGGCGAAGAGGTCGGCTGGTGCGTTGCCGAACGATTGGGCTGCACTGCCGCCTCTCATCACAAAATCGGTCAAGTCCATGCGACTTGGAATCCACATAAATTGAGTCCGCTCCACGTCACCAGGGGGTGAACGTCTTACTCCATATACCTGCACCTCGACTGCACTCTTTGGCCAAGCTGATGTCCCAGCTTGTCCTTCGTGGACGACAGAGAGATGATCGGAAACGACGAGGCCAGGCCTGTTCACTATGCCCAGAGCTCTCAGGCCAGCATACCGTTCAGCGCGTGGGACAGACTGAAAACATCCAGGGCGCACGCCAAAGATCGCACGAACAGGCCAGCCCGAGCATGGGTCGACCTGTGCCGCTGCCCAGCCAACACGGGCAAACGCAGGGTGTGAACGGTAGACCCGAGCCGTCTGGGTACACCACCGGGCTCAGTGTCCACGAGCGTCTCCCCACTTCGGCGTGAACACGCCGTCCGATGGCGGGGCAAGAGGTCCCGGCTCGGGCGGCCAAGGGTGGGTCAGCACGAAGGTCTCGGCGTCCATGACGTTGGCTACCACCTCCTGCTGTCTCTTCCTCACGTCGCCGATGCAGTCGGAATTCCATTTTGGCATGGTCTCGCTTTGCTGCGAAGTGCTGTCGCACACATTGCACGGGTGGCCAAGTGTGCCACGCTCGGCTCCACAGCTATGAGCTATAGCACTGCCTCGAAGACGCCATGCCCCTGTCCAACTCCGAGTCTGGGCATACAGCAGAACTCCTGACCACAACTTGTTGGGACCCTGCCAGCGGGCTGAGAACAGCTCGGCGCATCGCAGGATGCCAAATCAGCTCGTCGACTATCCTGGCAGAAAGGTGGGCCAGGATTAGTGACGTCTGCCAACAGTACAGAAACTCTACCATGAGTATCTCCACATCACGAGGTGCCGTCGCATTGAATTGGATGACCAAACCGAGGTCGTCAATGAGCGTGGAGGGACCAGCGAACTGCCAGTTGATGCGACGAAAAGTGAGCCATACTGAAGCCACAGGGCCTCTAGACGACTGACAATTGCAATGAGGATCTCGAGTTCGTTGTTGCACTGCCTGCCACGCATAGAATAGGCCAGACATCATCCGGACACTGCCATCCCATGTGAGAGAGGCGTAGCGTTTGACCAACAAGATAGAGCTATCAAACTAATAAATCATGTGCAATATAGAACTACAATAACAATATAGAACTATCAAAGATGACGTTTGACCAGTGTGCCATCATGCAGAATCATAAAGTAGAGCATGAGTGAACCGTTACAAAAGGCACCAATCATGCTCTCTGAGAAGGTATGTAGCTGCTCGAGCACAGCATCCGACGTCCCCGAGACTCCCACGCCGTGCCCTGTTGCGGGCACTGAGCCCGTTCTCCAGAGCACCGAAACCTCATCATGTACAGCCCCTCGAGGCTTCTAGACACGACCCCTACTGGTCAGAAGCTTGTCGATGAGCCCCTTCTCCTGGATCCTGGACGGACGGACAACGTGGAGCTCATGCCCGAAATTGCGAATGGATTCCTTGGGGCGCACAACTTCCAGAAACCGGCCCCCAACTGGAGCCCACGAGTGGCCTTGGTGGTGGTGGCCACGAGATCTGACTTGGACCTCTGGATGATGAGCCCGAAGGGGGATCACGTCGAGTGTGAATAACGTACATGTGTGTAGCTCACGCGCGCCGCGCATATCTGCACCAAATCACTGGAATGTGAAGTCATTTATGAGCACGCGCGCCGCGATGCTCTTGTGGAGCATGTGCCCCATAGCGACCACCCTGCACAGCACCATCACTAGTAGAGGAAGTAGCATGACTGCATCCTGCTACTTTGCCTTGGTGTCCCACGGACATGTCGCTGACCTTGTTCTAAGCTCCAAAAAAGCGTGGTATCATGCACGTCTGCAGGATCATCCATACGAGCCTCATGGGGGTTCCGAAAGCGTGAGCCTCTTGGAGGACAGCTGACCACAAGGGCATACTGGAACACTCGGACGTGTCGAGGAATACTGTGGCAACAGTTCCCTTTCTAGCGTGATATATATATATATACACATATATATATATATGCTCAGCAGAAAAATTCACAACGAACGCGATGTCGCTAAACGACCTGTCTGCACCCGACCCCAGAGGCAAGAATGAGCATGCTCTTTTTCTCACTGCACGCTGGATGGCCCTCTCGCTCGGGGCCACAACAGCTATATGTGCCCCGCGCCCAGCGGAATGCGAGGCACGGTCATCCTCGCGCAGCCCCCGTGGAGAAAGGCAGCCTAGAGGCCCAGGCTGCGACGCGCGAGGCGCGACCACCATCGCGCCCATTCGGGTGACCTAGCCGCCGCCTCCTCCTACTTCTACTCGTCTTCCTGCTCCGCCTCCTCCTCCTCCTGCTTCCCGTCCCCCCCGTTCCTTGTCATAGCGATGATTCCTGTGCTAACAATACCATGACCACCGCCACCACCACCACCACCACCACCACCATTACGAATTCCTCCTTATGCGGCGCATCCTCCAGCGCTTATTCTCTTTCCTGCTTCTGGCCCCGATGTTCCTGATCATGCTGCTCCTGGTGGTAATGGTGTTACTGCTGCTGCTGTTCCTTTTCTTCCCCCTACTCCTCCTCCTCTTCCTCCTCCTCCTCATCATCATCCTCCTCCTCATCCTCCTCTTCCTCCCCCTCCTCCTCCTCATGTCCCTTTTTCTCCTGATCCTGCTCGTGCTACTGCTCCTGAACCTGCTTTTGCTGCTCGTTTTGCGGAGGACTCCTGATCCTCCTGTTCCTGCTGCTGCAGCTCCTCCCTCCGCCTCCTCCAGGAGAAGAGGGGGGCGGCCGCCTCTGAAGCCAGGACGGCGCCGTGGCCACGATGTCGATCCAGAACATCCCTTCGGTGCCGCGCTTCTCCCTGTGCGGCCAGCCGCAGTACCTGAGGGAGGGGAAGTTATTTGCCAGAGGATTCGAAGATTCTGACACTATGCTATCTTGTTCCGCGATCGTCAATGGGCCTATCCCATATGATCTAATCAGTAGGCTGGATCATTGAGAGTTCGGCGTGGCTAAAGTGTAGATCCGCTGCGTTGAGGTGTACGGCTAAGTGTAGAAGCGCGCGCAGAGCGCAGGGCATGCGCGCTTTTACACCTACTTGCAGCCAAAGCAGCTTGAGCACATACAATGACCAGCAGCGGTGTCCGGCGTTGGTGGCGGCGGGGGACGGCGAAGAAAGAATCATCTCAACTCCCCCGAGGCAGGATGAGCAGGCCTGACTCCACCTCACTTCGGAGTTGCCAGACTTCATGCCGTGCCCAGGCACATTGGCCCCCTGGCGCCAACCCCCAAAACCGTTCTGCGGTGCGCGAGGCGGGATGGCATCTACTCGTGGCAACCCTCTTGAAGCGCGCCAAAACAAACAAACGAATCCCACTAATAATCCAGTGTACCAACTCATACCCATGTTCTTGGTCAATGGCTTTGCCATGATCTTTCGGAACGTGCAATCACCGGGCAACGTGCTGCATAGCCACACATTCCGCTCATGGTCAAGGACATGCTAGATTTAATGGGCAAATTCGTGATTAAATCCGAGGCAAATGTGCGGCTTATCTGAGCATTCCTTCTGCGATCGGCAGTCAATGAAATCATTTCTATCCAACAACCAATCTCCAAATTCAGCGCGATGCCATTTTCATGCTACTTTGCCTTTTCGGCTCGATTTCCACGCGCTCTCGAGAAGATAGTATTTCTTCGTGTAATCGTAGATGAGCCACCATTGCCACCTCCTCTCGCGCTCGTTGACCACATGATATCTGGTGCCCACCCCGTAGTGACGGCTCGCATATCATTGTCCAGTTTCGTTCGCATCGCGAGCCCTCTGGATGTCTTGGTTCGCGCGGAGGATCAGCAAAGACGCCGCGAATGCAGACGCAACACAATGTTCATCCGTCGGAATCACTTCACCACCGACTCGAAATTCACCCGCGCGTCTGGCCTCAGGCGGCGGCGTCTCGCCGCCACATCCAGGGTTAGGTCGGGCATGTCCCCCGACAGGCCGATGTTCGACGATCTCTCAAAAACAAGAAAAAGAAACTCAACAATGGTCAAAAAATATGAGAAAAATCGTCTCCGGACTATTTGTTGACTATTCTTGGCTACTCCTCCTGGCGAGGGACACGCCCGACTTACATCCAGGGGCCGGTCTCCTTGGCGGCGGCGGCGGCCGCTGGACACGACGAGCCGGCGGGAAGGGCGGAGGAGGCAAAAATGCCCACGCGATGGCGTCAGACCACCGGCGGAACCAAGGGTGTCGCATGGGGCAGAGCCGGCGTCCATCGCAGCGTTTGCGCCAGGGGCATCGCCGCCCACAAATAGAAGTCAAAAAAAACCATACTAATCAGGGCTGGACCTAAACGGTGTTTTTCGTTTTCGTTTTGTTTTCGTCTTTCCTCGCTTTGTCTTGAATTCGCCTTTGCTGCAAAACGACATCGAAACGAAAACGGCCCACGAAATCGCCAAAACGCCGTTTAGGTCCAACCCTGATCCTAACCACCCCGACACGCGAAGTCGTTTAGTAAACGCGCCCAAAGACGGGATCGAACAGGGCAGGGCTGCTTCGCAAACGCCCAGGGCCGTTTAGGAAACGCCAAGTGTCTGGTCGGGGTGGTCTCTCCTCCCTCTAGACGTCAGACCACTGGCTGAATCGAGGGCCTTGCCAGGGGCAGCGCCGATGTCCATCGCAGCGTTTGCGCCGGGGGCATCGCCGCCGACGGAGTAGGCGACGGCCCCAGGCTCACGGACGCCGGTTGGACTGGCAGCAGCGCCCGGGCAGCGCCGCTGGCTGAGCCAGCGGCGGCCTCGGCGCCTGCCCCGCCTGGGCGGAGCCGCGGCGGCTGGTTCCGGCACGCCGCCGGTGGAGCTGGCAACGTCGTCGACGTCCACGGGGTCCACATGAAACCGGGGGCGCGCAGCAAGAGACTAGATGCTTTTCGTCAGGGCATCCTGGGTTTCTTTGCCCCTCACGCTGCGCGGTGACTTCACGCGGCCGTGGAAAGAGCTGCTGCGTTCAGGCTGCCCCAGGGCTCCCCTCAGGTACACCTCGCGCACGGGTTCCTACGGGTTGGGTTTCCCGCGAGGGTTTCTTGCGGCCGCGCCCGCACTAGATCGGCTAAGCCGACAATGGGTCTCCCGCCTTCCTTGCGTGCACGCACGACGCCGAAGGCGATGGTGGCAACTTTTCATTGCATTTTGCAGCCGTTCGATCCCAAATCTTGGCATTGTCTCCGTGAGTCTCCTCGGCCCAATTGAATTGGCCACCGAGTTCCGCAATGCACGAGTGGATCGGCGCGGTGAGGCCACGCATGTGAGACCTGAGGTTGAACCCCAGATCTTGAGTATGAGCCTCGACCAAACCTGAACTCCCCACTGCCGCCCTCGCCTCCGCGTCTTATGCGCAGGCGTCCATCTTCCTCTGTTTCGGGCAAGGTTCGAGTCCGAGAGGTACTTCCTGATCAACGTCCCCAGCTGGAAAAGCAATTTCGTTGCCCTCCGAGATTAACATCGCTACGCGCTCCCCGATGATCCCGACAACTCCACTGGACCTCAATTCAAGAGGCAACTACTGGATCTTCCAACAATTACCAACACAGCCAGTGAGGAACTTGGATGGAGTGAGGCTCTCATCGCTACTACTTTCCTTCAAAAACTCCATCATGGAACTACTGGAATGCAACGCTCAATCACGCGACTCATACGTCCTGATGAATATCGGCAAAGCGGGGTCCTCAGCCATGTCGGGGGGAGCCCCATCGTTCGATCCGCGGGATGCGCGTGCACCGGTCTCCTTGCTGTCAGGAAATTATTCCCCACAGCGCGGCTCAACGCGTATGTGGAGGTCGCCCGAGCGAGCTCGAATGGAAACACGACCTCGTCCGTCACCGCCGTCCGGGCCAGCGAGGTTAACCGGCGCTGGCGGCTCAGCCGCCTGTGGGGCATCTCTACGGCCCCCAGTTAACGGCCTTCCTGCTCCCATTTTCTTGGGGAATCATGTGAGCGTTTTCTTATTCGGGGTTTCGATATTGGGCGGAAGGGGGGGGAAGGGGGGTTTGGCTCCAGACCTCTGCTTAATGCGACTGTTTGCAACAGTGCGTCCCATGGGGGAGACCCCACCTGCTCGAAACAGGCGCCAAAAACAGCCAACATCTTCTCCATTGGGGTGGGGGGGGAGGGGGGGGGGGGGTGCGAGGGCCCGCGCCGATCCGCAAAACAATGAATAAGAAAACGATCACAATCCTGCTGCGCGAGGTTGGTCCGGAAATCCGACGGGGCTGGTCGCGGGGACATTGCCCATGACCAAAATGGATCATCCGCTCGTGGATCTGCGGGCTCCGCGCCCTGCTGCTCGGCATGGTCGCAAGGATCCGCGGTTAAAACCTGGAAGAGGAGGAGGAGGCGAGAAAAGCTGGGCGGATGCTGCCCAACCCTTCTTGGGGGCAGTGGCTTCTGCGCCCCTCGCGCCCCTCCAACCGGATGTCGCCAACAGGGGGGGGGGGCATGACGTGGGCATCGAAAACTGATCGATCAAAATCTGCAAATCGCTCCACCCTTCCGCCTGGGGAGAAACGTCCTTTTTGAACTTTATGCACGACATGAACTCCACTTCAGTGGCTCCAGGATGCGAAGGTACGGTTCGCTCCTGATGGGTGGGCGATCAGTCGGATTCACCGCTTCCCACGAGGGCACCGACCCTGGCTCGTTGTTGAGGCGTGTTTGTCCTCCCTGGGACTTCCTCGCTCGGGTCGGTCTGTCTTTCCGCCGCTGTCTCTGGGACCCAGCATACAGATGAAGGTTGTCGTCGGCCGTGGCGGAGGAGGTTCCTTGCCTTTTACGCCTGTACTGGACATTTCGACTCTGGCTCTCCTCTTCTACGATCAGTTCAAGGCCACGCTCCTTCAAACTGTGCCGGATCGCGTTCACGGCTCCTCCCGCGAAGAAGGTCCGTTTGATGGCGAGCCTGGGGACTGCGACGAAACAGCACTGGCATGCCCTTAACCCTGACTGGAACTGGTGAAGCACCACACAAAGGTAACAACCATCGTCCTTCCAGGGAGGGGTCGCGAGCCCATCTGCATCTTCGTCCGACAGCTCAGGTATGTCACCAAGATTCCGGGCAAAAATGTTCGTATCACTGCGTTCCTCCGATTGAAAGCATTCAGCAAGTCGCTTTTCGATGAGTGCATTCGGAGAAACGTCTTCATCTGATTGAAGGTACGCAACAATCCGATCTGGTGAAAACGTGACGTCCAGGCTCGCCCCCGACTGATCAAACATGAGGTCCCAGACGATTCTAGAAGTGTTGCGTTTCTTCTTGATATGAGACGGCGCGACGATTTTCGTCATATCAACCATTTGGGACGCTGATTTGAAACCAGCGTCCCACCCGGGGAGATTCGAAACATGTGTCGCAACGAAACCTTCGGATTGAATATCACCACGTGTTCCCACTGAGTCTGGTGATCATCATGTACATGCCAATATATAGCGGTGAATAGCGGTTTGTATACTGTAGACTGGGCGCGAAGAGGGACCCCTGCAAAGGGTAGCGGGTCCAATGCTACCCTGCTGACGCACCCAAGGAAGAGGTGACCTACCGTTCAAGTTACTGAAGAAGAAGGAGGAGGAACGGGGGGGCCCGACCCCGACGACGACGACGACGACGACGATGACGACGACGACAACGACGATGACGGAGGCGGCGGCGGCGGCGGCGACGACGACGACGACGACGACGACGACGACGACGACGAGGACGACGACGACGACGACGACGACGACGATGCCAAGGCCGCCGCCGCCCTCCGCGGCGCCGCTGTCCGGGCCGCCGGAAGGCCGCAGAGGGCCGCCGAGGGCCGGCCAGAGGGCCGGCCGGAGGGCCGCCGAGGGCCCGCCAGAGGGCCGCCAGAGGGCCGCGGAGCGGCGCCTCCTCGCGATGAGGCACTTGTCCACCTCCCAGGTGTCGGTCTCGAGGGCGGCCTCTGGCGGGCCGGCGCTCTTTGCAGGGACCCTGGGACACACAAAGAAACAAGTGGCACGTGTGCCATGGCTCTTGCACAAAATGGAAGGGGGGGGGGAAGAGGTGGAGGAGGAGGAGGGTGGAAGAGGGGGCAAGACATCGCTCCTCGGCGCCCAGCAACGGGGCCCAAATCCCAGGTGGGGAGAGGGGGGGAGGTGGCGTGCGTCGCGACGCGGAATAGAGTGCTCGAGCGGAGGGGGCCGCGGGGCGGAGGTCCCCACTGGGCGCTGGGCGGCGCGGAGATAAGGGGGGGGAGTGGTGTGCGTCGCGACGCGGAATAAAATGGTCGGGGCGGAGGGGCATTGGCGGGGCTTGGGGCAGAGGGCCACGGAGCGGGGGTCCAACTGGGGCGCTGGGGACGGGGGGGAAGTGGTGCGCGTCGCGACGCAGAATAAAATTGTCGGGGCGAAGGGGGGCACGGGGCGGAGCCCCCGCTGAGGCGCTGGGGACGCGGGGAGGGAGGTGGGGCAGGTGGTGCGTGTCGCGACGTTGAATAAAACGTTCGTGGCGGGGGGGGCAGTGGGCGAGGCCCCCGCTGGGGCGCTGGGGACGCGGGGAGGCTCGGGGCAGAGAGCCACGGCGCGGGGTTCCCACTGGCGTTGGGGGCGCGGGGGGAGGGGGGGTGCGCGACGCGGAATAAAGCGTTCGTGGCGGAGGGGGCAGTGGGCGAGGCCCCCGCTGGGGCGCTGGGGACGCGGGGGAGGCTCGGGGCAGAGAGCCACGGCGCGGGGGTCGGTCCCACCCTGGCGCTGGGGACGCGGGGGGAGGGGGGGTGCG